TTAGAAATGTATAAGTATAAACAAAAGATCACAATATCAACTGATGATCATTGTTTAAAATACCTGAGGGAAACGTGTGTTCCAGCAAATAATATTATCTACACTATGAACATTCCAAACGAGCACCTCACAAGGCACTAATGAACTCAAGGATCAGGGCGTGCTATCCCAATACTCGTTTGTCGATGTTTTGAACGTTTCGATTTTAGCCCAGTATTGTATTAAGATAAAGGATCGTTGCACAAGAGTAGAAAATTTGATCTTCAAACCTCAAGGGAACTTGTAGAAAGCTCTATTTTGGTSGGAAAACCCGCTGACTCGTCCCGGGCTCAAATGTCCGGAATTTCTGGCCATGAGCTTTTTGTCATGCCGTCAACCTGGGTCTAGAAGAAACTAAGAGGTAGCGGGTTCTCCACCACTCTGTTTTTACAAGGTTTTTTTACCCAGCTGCATGCTTATAAACCAAATAAATCACTAACTAGCCAAGTTACTAACGAAGTTTTCTTTTCTTTTCCAGGTCCAAGCGGTGGCTGGAGTTCCTGGTCTTCATTTTCACCATGCAGTGACGCCTGCCAAAAATATCGCCAGCGATACTGCACAGCAGTTGACACGAACGAGTGTCCTGGGGCTGACTATTATGGTATCCAAACCAAATCTGTTAAGTGCAGTTCTCAAGAATGTTATGGTAGGTTGACGGAAAATGATTCAATTTCTAAAAAGATCACATTCAGTACTGAGCCATGCAATTGTTCATTGCAGTACACATTGATGGTCACTGGAGCAAATGGTCGCAATGGTCACAATGTAGTGCCACTTGTGATAAAGGAATTCACACGAGAACGAGGGTTTGCAATGACCCTGCTCCGAAACGAGGCGGGAAGGCGTGTAAAGGGTCAGCTGTAGACAAGAAAGTATGTACTAGGAAAAGCTGTGATTTAGGTAAGTATTTTGATGAGTGGAAGTCTTGATACTGTTGATCAGAATCAAAACAGAATAATGCACTGAAATAGATATCTCATGACTGTGAAACTCCATGATCACGGAGTCTTAGTACTGGATAGAGATGAGGTCAAAAGGGGAAAAAACAAATCGATCAAGACCAGAGTATATTGCCAATACGCACGGAACGTATTAAAATAAACTCGGAATTGCTGAAGGGAAATATTTTCATAAGTAACAGTTTCCTATGAGCACGTAAAACGAGGAAGGATCAAGCTGTTGAAGCCAACGTTCCGTGCGTATTCGTAATATACTCTGGCCTTGATCGATTTGTTTTTAGCGGAGCTCCCGCGCGGGCCGAAGGCCCGCGCGCAGCGGAGCACCATAACTAAGGAAAAATGGTAAACCCATGGGCTTGAGTTTTGATCAACCGACACAGGAAGCCCAGTTGTCCTTCCGTCCGTCCGTGTACCACGCGATTCTGATTGGCTACTTTTGAGAAGGCGGGAAAAGGAAGCGCGCTCGCGTCAATTTTTGATACAACTTTTTCATCACAACGACGACACAACGACTCCATTTTTGTCCTTTTAAATACTTTACTTCTGCGCCAAATGTCGGAAAATCAACTGATAACGGAAAGCGATCTTTATCTGAAGAAGAACAGTCAAGAAGAAGAGAAAGAGAGCGTCGAAGAAGTCTAAGTGAAGAACAACGCAGGCTTGAAAGGGAGAGAAAACGTGATAGACGAAACAATAAAGACTCAAGCAAATCGAGAAACAAGTAAACGCCAAATACAACGATTATTGAGGGAGAATTTCTCATAGGAGAACTGACATATT